ATGATAATATTGATTATTGTTGTTATTACTTGTTCTTGGGGTTTTCTTGGCAAAAAAGGGGTTTTGCCATGGCTTTACTGGGGCTGAGAGAGTGTGCATGCATATTTTTAATTTTTTTTAAATTATTTTTTTTAAATATTCATTTATTTATTTATTTTTGGTGCTTCGGCCCCCCAATTGTCTGAGGGACAGCAACCTGGTTGCCTATCCCTTCTATCAACCATGATATCCCTCTGGAATGCCTGAGGGATTTGGGAAGTTGAAGGACTGTGCTATCTATCAGGCAGGTTCCAGATGGTGATGCTTGGGGATAGCTATTATATGACATACCAGAAGGTGCCATTCTTTCTGAAATGCTATTCAACATCTACATGAAACCACTAGGAGAAATCATCCAGAGGTATGGAGTGGGGTGCTGTCAGTGTGTTAATGACACTCCAGTATTCTTCTGTATGTTTTTAGTAATAGCATCAGCTAAAGACAGTGTGTCTCCTCTGAATGAATGCCTGGAGGAGATAATAGATTGGATGAAGAAAGCAAACTAAAGCAAAATCCAGACAAAACAGTTGCTGTCAAGGATCCTAACCTGGGGTTGGAAGTATGTCAATAAGTCCTAGTTGAAGTTACAGTTCCTCTGAAAGGCTACTGAGGTTGCTTTTGGGTCCACCACTCCAAATGACAGCCCAGATAGATGTGACTGTCAGGAGTGCTTCTTTTCAGCTTCGGCTGTTAAACTAGCTGCACCCTTTCCTAAAAGTGAAGGACCTAAAAATGGTAGTGCATGCACTGGTCCAAGTCCAAGGCTGGACTTCTGCACTGTGATGTACATTGCACTACCTCTGTACCATGTTCAGAAACTTCATTTAGTTCAAAACATGGCAGCTAAATTGGTTGCTAGTATATCTAGGTGTGACTATATTTAACAAATATTAAAATTATTCCACTGTCTACCAGTTAGTTTCTGGATTAAGTACAAAGTGTTAGCTATTACCTTTAAAGCCTTACATGGATTGGGTCCAGGTTACCTATCTCACCTTCTCCCATATAATCTACCCCATAAACCCAGGTTCTCTGGGAAACAGATGCTTGTATCAGTCAAAATTAGTTTGACTGCTACCCAGATAACATTTCATTTAGCTGCCTCAGACTGTGGAATGACCTGCAAGAAGAGATCAGTCAGCTCAACACACTCTTAAATTTAAATTAGCAGTAAAGACCAGTCTCTTCTGTCAAGCTTATCCAGCTTATTTTTTTTAATTATGGTTTTTAAAATATTTATTGATGGATTTTAATATGTATTCATTTTATATATAGTACTCTTTTAAGTGATATTATGTGTTGTGTTATTTATTGTTGTTACCTGCTTCAGTCCATAGGGAGAGGTGGGTAAGACATAAATATTTGTTTAATATATTTAAATGTTTAATATATATTTAGATTGCTAAAATCTTCCTTATTTTAAGTTATAAACTGATTGAAATTATTTAACATGATTTTAGTGTATATTGCCCTGAGATTATATATAAAACTGAATATAAATCTTTAAATAAATAAGTAAATAATTCTGGTCTTAAACAATTACAGTTTGTTTGTTTTTGTTTTGTTTGATCATTGACTGATATATTATATGCAGAAATAATTTCTTTTGTACATGTTGGGGCTTCACTTAGGCAGCTATCCTTTTTACCAGCATCATAATCCTGACATGCCTGCTCTCTAACAGGTCACTCTGTGGTTATGCCAATATCTCTTCTTCACATCTCCATCCTGCCATCTTTCAGGCAGTTAAAACCACTCATGAAGTAAAGTATTAAATAAACATTATTGCAGTCTGCAGTGCCATGGAAAACAATTCTTTAGATTTAGACATGACTCAACATTCATGATGGATTAGAAAAAGAGAGATGACCTTTAATTGATCTGTGTCTCTGTCTCACTATACAAATTCAGATTTAAAAAGAAATATGCAGTGGTTAAATTTATAGCACCAGAAAGCCCTGTCTCTTCTCTAATTATCCCTGACATTCTAAAGAGTTCGAAAGTAAAAATCGCAAAGCTCAAGTGTGGATCAGACCTTCCTTCCAAAACCTGGAGTTTTGTTTAGTTTTTTGACATGGCAAAGGAGCAATAGAGAAGTTCACTGGCATCCACAGTTCAAAGCATTCCAGGCTTCTTTTATTCAAGTTCGTTGTTAATTTGTAGCCAAAGAGAATTTTTGCTGACCTGACATTTCCTTGAATTTTATATCAAGTCCATATTCATGCAATCTGTGTGTCACTTGCATTCTGTAGCACTTGACTAAAATGAAGGACTGCAAAGGGAAGAACTTGGGAAAGTTATTTTGGAAGGAGGAATTAAAACTCCCCAGTTGCCTCTTCAGCATGGCTGGGGATATGCTGTTTGGGGGACTGTGGGGACGATAGTCTAAAAAAATCAACTCTTCCAGGCTTTGGAAAAGATTGACATTTTTATACTATTCATGCACCTTGGTGGAAATGTTGGTGCTCAGCAGTGGGGCCTAGGAAATTCCCTAGGATTTAGCCATCTAAGGATCTTCTTGCAGGGTTGCCCTTTCCACCTCTAGTAACACTCAGAAACATTGAAATCACACAACAAAGAAGGAAATAGGGTATAAGCAGCCCTTCCTTGTCTATCTTGTTCCCATACCTCCAGTATTAAACTGGAGAACTGACAGTTGCATTAAGAGTGGAGATTAACAGGGAGGAGCAGCTGGAGCTGACTTCTTTTCCATTGCTCTGGGATGCTTAAATGCAGAGGTGTGGGTGGCAGGGGTCAATCAAAATGGCAACCAGAAGTAGGGGTCCCAGATCTTAGATCCTAACTCTTCTTCTCCAGTCTTCAGGGCATGGATAAGGAATCTCAAGGCACGAGCACTATCTTGAAAAATCTCTCTATGTGTGTATTATTTTCCTTATGGCCTACTCTGTGCAGCTATGGTTGATGCTTATGATATCATGCTTAATGACATCATCACAGTCCGACCCTTATAACATCACCTTTGGTGGAAGGATCACTCCCAAAAGGTTGGCTCTAGGTTACAGGTTTTGACTCTGAAATCTCAGATGTGGAGATACTCCTGACTTGGCAACCCTAACCAGAAGTAATGCTGTATCACTTCCTGTCACCATTTGGAGAGGGAGTCTGATGAAAACAGAGAAATCATATTTGATGACATTAGCCGGAGCTGCCACTTGCAACATCACTCTTCCTTTATCAACAGAACACAAGCCCTGTAACATCACAAGAGATCATCCCTAGGTCTCAGGTTTTGGCCCTGAAATCTCTGGGATAGTTCTGACTTGACAATCCTATTTAGTACAGATATTTCAATGAATGTGACTTCGCCTGGGGTTGCCTAACCTTCTCTGAGGCAGAGAGAAAACAATGATATTTTATAGTAACCACAGAGAACTGCTACTGGAAAAATAATACAAGTATACTCTAGTCCAGGAATGGGCAGCTGAAGGGTAACCAGAGGGCATTTTATATCCCCCATGCATTCTAGGGGCATGTGTATGGCCCTCTGTGTGTGTGTGTGTGTGTGTGTTATGTGCCTTCAAGTCATTTTTGACTTATAGCAACACTATCATGGGTTTTTCTTGCCAAGATTTGTTCAGAGAAGGTTTGCTATTGCCTTCCCCTGAGGCTGAGAGCATGTGATTTGCCCATGGTCACCTAGTGGCTTTCATGGCTGAGCTGGGAATCAAACCCTGGTCTCCAAAGTTGTAGTCCAACACTCAAA